CCTGCTGCTCCCCTCAGCAGTGTACTTCGTCAATCTGCCTGTTCTGCTCCCCACTCTGTCACTGGTGAATCCTCTCACTGCCCCTGCACCTCTGGCTTGTATCCCATTTCTGTTTGCATAAATAAATCTTTTAAAAAAAATCTACTCCACAGCTGACAAGGGGATAAATACTGTAGGACTTGGAGAATGTCCAAAAAGGAATCACAGACTTGGCCTCCATTAGAGCTGGGTCTCTGTGAGTCTCCTGGGACTTCTGCCTGCCTTGGAGTGCAATCCCTGTGGGCTGGGAGTGAGGAACAGGTGGACTCTGTTGAGGACCAGACCTCTGGCCTCTAGGCCAACCTCTGGGTTCACACTTAGGTCTCTCCAAGGTATCTCCCACAAACATAAGGCGGAGAGCAGCAAGGTAAGAGACAGAGAACACTGGACTCGGAGCAAAGAACCTCAGCTCTAGTCTCAGTTTTGTCAACCAGCTGTGACCCAGACGGGCCATGCTATTTCTGCCTGTTTCTTCAACTGTACATGAAAGTGTTGGGCTGGGTAATCGCAAAGGCCCTTCCAGGTCTAACACAGAAAGGCCTCTCATAATCTCTTAGTAAAGGAAATAACAGGTTTCTTGGAAATGGTAATTCGAGTAGCTGCCAAAACTAAACCTCAGAAATTACACATCAGGCCTTCCCTTTCCTTCCACATGGTCACTGTCGGAGTTGAGGTTGACGTGAGAGACCCAGCATTCCTCCCTAAGCCACATCCCACTTGCAGTGAACTCAGAGCAGGCATGTATACACCACTCCCCTTCACGGATGCGCAGCATACTCTCTCCTCCAATAATTTGGAATTTTTAATAAGTTTTGTTACTATTAAAAGTAAGTTATGTTTATTATAGAAAACCTGACAAAATAATAAAACATAAATAAAATGAAAGTCACTTGGCATTTCATGACTGAGTGATAACCAAATTTGCTACTTTATGTATTTCTAGCCTCTTGTCTCTACTTGGTCAGCTTTTCTGTTCCCCTTACCACATAGATTCACAAAATCATTTTTCCTCAAAATTTAGGCTCTATTTTAGTGTACTCTTGTTTCTACTTCTCACAGCTATAGCATTCACATTTCTCTGTGTCACTAAATACTCGGCATGTTTTTAACAGTTGCATAGCATTCCATTCCTTCTTAATTTATTTGACATGAAAATTGGAGATGTGTGTTATCCAAATTTTTTTATCTGGTAAGCTATATATAGACAGACATTTTGCTTGTTAATCCACTGGCGGATTCTGAGCAGTGGGAACCCTGACTTGAGTGGGCCTTAGATGGATGACTGGGCTGTGGTGCAGATCAAGGAAACCTGCTGGAAGGTTTCTGCAGACTCCAGGGGAGAAAGGACAGTGGCTTAGCCAGAGTGACAGTGGCAGCAGAAAGATCACATAGGGAATACTTTTCAAAGGGAGAGGCCCCAGGGTTTACCCATAAGTTGACTGTGGAAAAGAAAGGAAGTGAAAGATGTCAAGGGTGACTCCAAAGTTTGAAGTGTAACAAAATGCAGCAGCAGTGAGCATGTGGTGGAAGGAGAGAGGAGGCAGGGCTTCAGAAAAATCTAAGTGAAGAAGTGGCCCTCCCTGGTGGTGCAGCGGGTTAAAGTACTGCACTAAGAAGCTGAAACCACTTCCACATGAGTTTGATTCCCACCTGCCCCGGAGGTGACCACATGGTGTGGCAGACC